CTTTTTGAGTAGAGATTGACTTCCATCCGTCCTGAAACTTTGATTGGGTAGCTTGTCATTTTCAAACTGTCAAAAGTAAACTTAATTGTTACTTTGCAACTCATGTTATGTTCCAGAGCATTATTGACTATTTCAAGCCTATTGTAGTACCAAAATAGGGCAGAACCTGGAAATAATATTTATAGATGGACATTTCTTTTATAGGTTTTTTTAAAAGGTTTTTAAATATAAATTACGATATTTCTACAATCGTACGCTATTTTCATGATACAAATATTTTAATTTTTAACGTTACATAAATATTTTCTATTAATTAAGGTTTTGATTGAGTTGAAAAAAGTCAGTGTCACAAGCGGGATTCGAACCCACGACCTTCGGCTAAATACACCTCTGCTCTACCACTTGAGCTATCGTGACTTCGATCCATTTTGCCATTTTTCAAATGTCGTGTTATCATTTCTACAAATGAAATAGCCACGGAGACCTTTCGTGAAGATATATTTCAGTTTAATTATTAAATCCATTACAGTTCGTGGTCCGATTGACCAATTAACTTTTTTCAATTAATTAATATTTATGAAAGGTATTGGTTGAGATAGTGGGTTCGAATCCCGCTCGTGACACTGACTTTTTTATCTCAACCAATACCTTTCATAAATATTAATTGAAAAATCCACAAAATGCTCTATATGCATACACATCAAATTTACAAAATTGTTATACAATTTGAAAATTAAAAACTGGTTTATAAACAGACGTATACTGACGTATATTAAATTGTTGAAATAATCGTAAATAAGCTAGCAAAGTTGATACAATATTACAACTGACACTGACAATGCAAAGTTACATTCTCAAATAATGCAATTTCTAAATAATTGACATGCGGTACAATTCTTTAAAGATGCCATAAGAACAAGTAAGAACAATTTAACATAAAGAAATTCATGTATGCTATAGACAAAAACATACTAGTAGGTTGATCATGTGTAGCTATTTTGCTACAGTGCAAAACGAAACGTTGATGATTAAAAAATAACAAATTTGAAAGATTGAAACACGTTCTCTGCTGGATGTATTATGTTCGCGGTCTTCAGTGCTGTTTTCATTCCTAATATGTTGAATAAAATGTTATATAGAGAAGTATAAATAACCTCGAACACAATCGGAAAACTACCAACAATAGGGCAAGGGGATAATCCGCGCATTTGGGCTGTGCAGCCATAAAAAAATCCATTATCTACTTTTAAAGTCGACTTGATTAAGTTAACAAATCCTTATTTAATAATTATTAGAAAACAGTACTACAATGTTACCATTTAGAAGTATTTAAACTATTTTTTAATTATTAATTTTACAATAAATATGTGCGTTCGGAGTTATCTCAAGGTAACACAGATTATATAAATCTAAAAATTCTTTTATTGATTATACAATCTATATTTTCAGTTAATATAAAATCATAGACAAGTTCATAATCAAAAGAAATATCATTACGTCTGTTACCACCTGAAGCAAATCAACTGATTTGATTGATTTTAATTCGTTGGGTTTTAAATGCATCATTCAATCTGTTTTATAACGATACTAACAGCTTATCAGATAAATCTTAATCTTTTAGTATCCATCTTTTTTCCCCTTTCGTCCCCCTTGGCTTCGTACATTCCTCTTTTTAAGAAGTTCGAAATCTCCGAATATACCATGATGCTTAATGTATCTGCATTCAAATTACAGTTATTAAGCATTAAGTGCTAATTTTTTCAATTTTTTCTTTTAGAAGGTTTAAAGGTAATAAAATATAATAAAAAATGTAAAATAGTACTTAATAAAAAGGGAAATATACAAAAAAAAGTACTGTTTGTTTAATAGTCATTTGTAGACGTCTCGAATACAATTGACAATCGGACTTTGGACAATATGGGCATTTTAGTCCGATCCTTCATGTAGAATCGATATTCAAGAGACACACTTGTTTGATTATCACATCAAATTTAGTACTACGGAAGATGTTGCGAGTACACACAAAAAAAATTGTACACATCAGCGAAATATTTCAGTTTTAAGTACTTATATTCAATCTTGTCTAATGAATCAGAAAAATAAAGCTTCTGACAAAAGTTCACGGTTTTTACCTTTGATTGAACTGGTTGGTTAAATGAGGTGAAAGGTTACGCTTAAAACGAACCGGATGAGGAAAAAAGAGAAAAATCTGCGATACGCGGATATCTGAATGAACGGGAGTAATCAAACTGCTGGCAAAGCTTGCAAAAACAAGTCGGTTTTTCCCCATTCAACCGGTACAGATAATTTGCCATAAATTACAAAAGACGGAAAATTAAAAATAGCGGAGGTTATATCACAGGCATCGGAGTGTTATGTATAGGGAGGAATGAACGAATCTGTGAAGCGCTATCTGAATCATCGACCGCTTTCTATTGAACTGTGGAAACAAATCACAGCCATTTGTTTCCTTGCTCTCCTTGATTCCTTCGAGCGAAAATTTTTCATCGCTGATGGAAACAAATTTATGCCGCTTTCCTTGCTTCGTTGTACTTCAAATCGTAATAGACAAGATTTACGACTATATGAGCGGAGACTCAATGTTTACATGAGTTGTGATATACGTAGCATCAAAGCCCTTGTGACATATCACTTATTTAGGGTAACACATTTGAAAATAATGTACATAGTATAAAAAACACACTTTTAACTCTGATAAATTGGGTTTTTTCTTATTATAAATTCAAGGTTTTGAAGTAAAATCTATTTGAATTTAAAGAAATCTGCTTTTAAATGGCTTATATCGAACAGGATAAACATGAAACCACTCGAAAAAATTGAACAACAACGTTCTAAGTTATTTTCACAAAACGTCATCAATTAGTATAAAGCAATTACATCACAAACATAATATTGCTCCCCTATCTGTTGCCACAACGTGATGGAATGTTAAATAAATACCTATCATTTGAACATCGTAATGGATGAAAACGATTTAAACAAAAAATTAAAATTTAGTTTTTACTTGCAATACTTTTTTATTAATGTTATATTGATAAATGCTTAAAACCTTTTGCTCGAAACAACAACACTACATGGGTAAAGTTCAGAATCTAATATCTAGCATAGTAATAAATTGATTGCCGCATTAACACCATATTGCAATCTATACAACATAAAATATACGACATTTTCAACATAAAATAAATTCAACCCCGTTTAACCTCCATCTTTAACCATTCCGAAGGAAAGATATTTGAGAATCGAAACATTTATGTAAAAGACACTTGGCGTTCTTTTTAAAACACGCATGCTACTCTATTGTTCCTATGTCTACGTCCACATTTACTAGTTGTGTCACCAATATAAAATTTAATAAATTATACATCGTGGATGTAATGCACTCTCAAGCACGCACTCACAAACACAGCGCTTTTGATTTGGATTCATTTAACCTTACTTTATTCTTCTTAGTTTAAGCATCGGCACTATTAAGCATTCTGTATCCGTCTACACTTAACTCCATTTCTGCTTTCCCTGCAGTCATAGTTACTATGTCGTTAGAAGGCTATAATTTTGCTGCGTCCTGGTAAAATCTTGAAAAAGGAAATCAGAAATACAATTGATTTTGGTGTACTTGAGTAATAAAAGATTGGCAATGGTGAACAACATGAAATACTTAGGGGGTCATACATGACAAGAAAATGAGCTGGGACAATCATGGACAGTAAGAGCTGGCAAAGAGTAAACATTCTCTCAAAAGTGGCTAATGAGCACTGTGGTCTGAATGAGTAATGCATAGAAGAGCTTATCTAACTCTTTGCTATATGCAGTACCACCCATGTGGCAATCTGTGGTAAAACGCGGCTTAAATAAGAAAGAGATGGAATGAGTGCAAAGATTGTTCCTGATACGATTACTTAATTGGTATCGTACATTCTTATACTCACCGAAAGCGTAATTGCTGGGGAAAATTTTTGCTTCATGTCCAAGATGTGATGCATGCAGAATGTTCAAAACTCGACGACAGACAGTAAATTAAAAAAAAAATGGCAGAACCCGGCGAACTTTCCGGTGATGAATATTGACCGTACCGACCCCTTCGACATTCAATCTACATTGGGATATGCAAAGTTGATAAATATGTTCGATGCGCCTTCGCCGTTTACCAAACCATAGTTTGTTCGCGAAGACAGATGTATGCTGGTTGGGCACTGTTCAAGCAACCAGGCGGAATTGTCAAAGCTCTTGAATGGCTGAACAACAACGTATCGCATTGAGTAAGGGTAAATATTGTAACACATAGTCAACTTATGCTGGACGTAAGAAGTAATGCTAAGATCCACTTCCCTCTTATTGAAGAAGTCAGAAACGCACTAATGAGAAAACCAGGCAAGGAAGGTAGGCAGGCCGAAACGTCTGTAACTCTTCTCCAAATAGAGTCGTAGCGACCAGGCATAGGTTTAGAAGATTGAAGGCTTAAATATTTGTGAATAACCAAAGTTTCGTGCAATAAAACGTGTTGGTTTGAACATTCCTCATTCTCTGAACGCATTTAAGTCCGGAAGGGGAGGAAAAGTCTTTTCAGGAGAGACAAACGTCTTTTATCGTTTTACATTCCCTTCTGTGAAAATCAGAAGTAAAAAAAATATTGTCCAAACGTTTGTTTGCTACAAAAGCGATGAAACGAAGGCTTTACTAATAAGCAGCTAATGTGTAAAATAAGTAATAATTATAACGGCGAAACTTTGTTAGTTCAAATATTTGCAATATTTTAAATGGTTGATAATCTTGTATGATTGATTTTGACTTCTCCCCTTAAAGGACGCTTTGTTTTCTAGTTTATTATTTTATGTATATTTACTATTGTCTACCAAAATCTGGGGTTGTTTTTTGAAAATTAATCACCATTGCACTATAGCGTAGTCCTTTAAAATGAAAAGTTTTACTTCTAATTAATAATAAATTATTATATAATAATTTGTGTTTTTTTGTTTTAGGTTACGGTAAGTGTAAATCAACCGCCTAATTCTTACGCCTACTTCCAACGTTGGTATGTTAATTTACAATGACAATTATCTTTTTCACAATTATATTATAACGAGAAGACTTTTAAACTACTCTAAACAACGAAAAAACAAACGTTCAAAAGATTGACTGTTAAAAAAATTCTGTCGTTTTCCTTAAATTAAGAATTATATGATACTTCTGAATAAATAAACATTTATTTGCGTGTATTCATATTAAACTTTGATTAAACAAAACAAGATATGTCCAAAAAATAGAAGGCAAAATATTCAGTTTTTAGTGTTAAATTTATATTAGGACATATTATAGTTCTTAATTATTTTCTTATTGGTATCTTCTTGTATCAACTTTGCAAACATATAAACTAAAACTAAAACATATAAACTTTTCTTACGTAATAATATGTTTGACACGGCGCTCATCACTGTAAGGTAAAGGTCCCGGGTTCGAATCCAGCGGCCCTGCATTCGAACCCGACATACAAATGGGCTTTTTTTCAAAAACACCGGCACCCTGAGGGTTTACATGTCCTCTGCAGTTGCGAACCCTCGTAAAAGAAAAAAAATAATATGCAGATTTTCTTTTTTATTTAAATTAGATATAAAGCAAAAAATGCTATAACAGTAAATGCTACAGTTTAAGTATCGACTGTCAAACCGGGAATCGCAAGACGAAAGCACACAAAGGGTTGAATGTCGTTCCTTCCTTACAATTAACTAGAGTAGTGCACATCCTATTGTCCAATATGGACAGTTTCAACAGGTATAGTTCACTTTCACCGCTACTGAATTACACAAAAGTAGCTCTAGTAAATAACGAACGAAAATATCGTGCACTTACGGAATCACTTTTGATGCTTTAATTCATTGAAATTAATAAAATAGAACAGTGAAATTGAGTATATACATAAATTTACCATATAGCTGGCATTTAGTCTTTATATATTTATTAATTTTTTATTTTGATGAGAACAACAACCTTTTTGTAATAATAAATATGTTAATTTGTTTTCTTTTTATTTCAGATTTGATTATTTACATATAAAACAATATTATATAATTTTATTATTAGTGTATTTAACACGAATTTTTTAAAATACATTTTATTCATGCTGGATACAAAAAAAAATTATTCGTTTAGGTTTTCCAGAATCTTTTAATACAATTTTATTAGCACATACATGCGACTATGCAATTTTACGAGTTTACAGAGTACATTAGGTTCAATTAATTCCATTTGATCAAAATTCCACATTGAAATAGATCACAAGTTGGAATCCTATTGTCCAAATTTATGGGCAACGAGTTGAACAACTTTAAATTGGACGATACATCTTAAGGCAGAAGGCTGCCTGGAAAGAATGTCAGAAGGGACATTTTGAAGTAATTAAGCCTACTTTGAAAAGGGAACGTTAGTTTAATCATTCCGGTAGCAACATTTGAAATTAGAATTTTTTTTAAATAAAATGAATTTTTTTTCCATTGGAAAAGTGCTATTTTGATTTAAATTAATTTTAAATTTGCAAATAGTTATATCATCACTATTAAATCGAACCACTATTATTTACCATTTTCATATATTTTTTAATAAATAATATTTGTGAAATATTGAATCTTTGTGCCCTGTGTTCGGTTTTTGGAGGAAACAGGGTTGTTTTATGATTTTACTTGATAGATATCTCGGTGTGTATTTCCTATTGTATATGTTGAAAGTGAATGTATTTATTTGAATGAATGTGAGGTATAAGAGGGCCAATGGTTCAATATTCATTACCATATCGACTCTTAATTAATGGAGGAAATTAAATACTACATCACCACAATTACGAAAGAAGTGATGAGGATGAGTGTGCCTAGGTTTAAAAACTACATGCGTTGGGGGGCTGAAATGACCTACCTGTTGACACCCCTTGAGCCTAACTTCGGCGGCGGGTCGGGTATGGCCAGCTGACCTAAAAAAATTGGCTGAGACATCATTCAAATTCTTTAAATTTGTGTGTCATGTATATGCAGAATTTAGTTTATATGTACCGATCATTCAATGAATTAATGATTATGTAAAATAATGTCGTAAAAGTTTGTGCTAAATTTCGTCTTAATACTCTACTTTTAACAAATTTCGGGCGTTGTGACTTGCTTTTTTTTTAAACTTACCCAAAAGTGATCAAGACAAAATGGTTGTGATTTAAATTACTGTAAAAAACAGTACCGCCTGTATACTGACCGCAAAATTGTCTTCTAATTACTAAAGAAACAAAGTTTTAAACGATATCCAGCAAAAATTATGTTTTTCTTTTTCCTTTTTTTTTTGTTTTTTGCTGGGTTGTTGGAAAGTAATTCTGAACTAATTCCCCCTAGCGGGCCCCTCTCAAAAATAGGGCAATATTTAAAGCCTGGAAAACTTAAATGGGACCGCGCTTAAAAGCCAACTTTCTTGTTCTAGAGAACAATTCTCTCGCCCGGTTCATCCCACTTCTCCATTGACTCACCTCTTATAAAAACGGAGGGCTGTTCAAACTCCATTTAGCTATAATAATGACATTGGTCATTGTGAAAATTTATCTATTGCCGGTTTTTTTTTTATGTTTTTCGTCACATATTGATTTATAAAAGTATTTTATTTGTAAACAAAATTTAATATAATAAATTAAATTGTGATCATTGGCATTGAAAGGAAAATGTCTATACTAATAGAGTTTAGAACTGTTATTACTATTATGATCAATTTAATAGCAAAAATAGACTTTTAATTATCAATAATAGGTTTTAAATTGTGTCTTAGAATGAAGTGTTTATCATTAAAAAAAATGTAGCAAGTATGGATTTTATGATCTATATTTATTATATGTTTGAACTGTCATTTTCTCAATTATTTATTCTTATGTGGATATCACACCACAGAAACAGAAAATCGAAATGAGACTAGTGTGAAGACACAGAAAACGTCTTCACTGAATCAGTTGTTTATATTCTAGCCTAAAGTCTGTATTGTTTTTGCAGTAAACAGACATGCCAGGATACATTAGGGTCATATCACCTGAGAACCGGTTGCTTGGTTTTGTTTTGGATGTTTCTTACTTTGCGGGTTTGCATACGGAGCCTGACCGTAGTCACAATCAGATGAATCTTGGCATCACTTCTGCCTAACAAACATGTGCTTCGTCTGAAAGATAAGACCAACAAAATCATCCCTAGCCATCGTCTTGAAGTATAATTATTTTCATTTTATAAGCCACGACATTTCATGGGGTGTTGTTAATAAATGTTTAGAAAATATGCATTAGCTATGGTTTTCAGTTTTTTTATATTTTTTATTAAGGATGAAGGACATTGTCCGATATGCTTCCGTTGTTTTTTTTTATCTTTTTAGTTTTTGTATTAATTGGTCAAGCGGACCACGAAAATAGTGAATTAATGATTTAAAAATGAAGTACACTTCACTAAAGCTCTCCGTCGCCATTTCAATTGTCGTCGAGAATCTAAACCGATTACACGACATTTGAAAAATGGCAAAAGGAGGGAAAACTCATAAGGTGGGGTTGAGATGGGGAGTTGATGTCCGAGTGGATCGAGGTCACGATAGCTCAGGTGGTAGAGCAGCGGCGTATCTAGCCGAAGGTCGTGGGTTCGAATCCCTCTCGTGCCATTAACTTTTTTTCATCTCAACTAAAAACCTTAATTAATTGTCTTGTATTAATTGGTCAAGCGGACCACGAAAATAGTGAATTATTAATTTTATTTTTAATACTGCCCTGAACATATAAAAAACACAATTCCAATCCCATCAAATGCACAAAATTACATTGTTAGGGTGTAATCCGGCTTTTGGAGTTGTTACAACGTTAACCCACTTTATGGGGGGTCCTTTTTATTTCCTATTATCAATTTTTTTAAAATGGGAGGTACATTACGTTTTAAGGGGGAATAACAGTTTGGGATACGGACAAATAAATTACTTTTAGTCAACATCTGAGAAAACCATAATCGCTCCGACGGACGTACCCTCCTACTTTCAGATGCATTGGAAATTTTGTGGTAGGTATGTTATGTGGTTTTGAAATATCTCGTGTCATTATGTAGGGGTTCTTTTTGTCAGCTAATTTCATTTTTAACACTGCCCTTGATTGATTAAGACTGTGTTTTTTTTTGGTTATGATAATTGTGATAATTTTATCGTTTTCGTTCTTTGATGGGTAGTGTTATTAGTGGGGTAAGTGATGTGGGTGAGCTGTAATTGATTTGTGAATTTATATATTGAATGTGTCCATTTTCCTTAAAACAACTTATTAAGTAGATACGTCTGAATAGTTACGAGTTTAATATAATGATAGATATAGTGATGCACATTTGGAATTTTTTTAAATCTTACATTTAATACTTCATTTTGTTAGGATCACTGCAGCAAAAAAATTTTTACTACTAACTTTAAAATTTGAAATTGCAAAAACGGACTTGTTAAATGATAAACCCTTCACCTAATTAACGTTAATCTGCTCTTCCTTCTGTATGGTAGAAGTCTCAGGCCCATTCTGACAGCTGACTCGTTACAATTCAAGTTCATCCAATAATTAATCAATTGTTATAAAGCGTAGAAACTTCTAATTCTATTGTCCCGTCACGAGAGAAAATTTATAATTGTATAATATTAATGTAAAAAACAAGCACAACATATTTTCAAATAGGGAATACTGAAACCACTACAAAATACATTGGAAAATAGCATGGTGAAATATTTTGTTTTTAAATTTGCGGTATAAACGTTACAATTGAGATTGCAGGCCAAGAATGTGGAAAAGATGGATTGCTCTACGGAGCAACAGTTCTTAAATCAACCACGGCAGCCCCAATTAACTTCAAGAAGCCATCAACCGCAGTAATTGCAAATATGTTGTGCTAATAAATTTTCTTCCTCGTGTTTCCACTTTAGTTGATATTAAACAGAACTTCGCCGTTTTAATAATGTTTGTTAATTTAAGTTA